AAGGGACATTTCCATTTGGCTGAAGGTTTATTTCTATTTTAATTTTTGTTTTCTTGAGCCGGGGTTTCACTACGGAGTTCTATGGAGACTTGAGTTTACTGGGTACCTAGGCTCGCCTTAAATTTGCCTTGATCTTCCTGTTTTCAGCCTGGAAAGTGCTGGGGTGGCAGGTGTGCTCCACCACACCAAGTTCATCTATTTTATAACTGAGCCTGAACTTGAGTTTATAAATTTGTTTGTGATTGTCTGGCTGCATGGAACTAGTACGTAGTATTTAGTAGGTGCTCGGTAAGTGTGCACCAGCTTTGATCAGAACGCTTGCTTGAGCAGACGCAGGTGGGATTTCTGGTGATTATTTTTCATCAGGAAGAGCACCATTTATCCAGCACTTGGCAAGCATTTCCTCACAACTGCTTTGCACCTAGCAGACAGGATTCCTGCTATCTGGGAAGCTAGAGGTGGTCCAGGTGGGCACGGCATGAGCATAGAAGTACAGTATTTGCTAAACTCTAAGACAGAGTTAAAGGGATCCCGGTGGCGAGGCTCAGGGATGGCTTCATATGGGAGGAGAGGTGAGCAGGAAGCCGAGGCTGGAGACCCCATTTGGGCCACCTGAACTCTGCCTGGAACTCCAGAATCTTCCCTGCAGATACAGCCAGGGAGCTCAAGCTCATCCTGAATCTCCTTGGGCAGCTTCTGATGGTCTGGGCCCCGGAAAGGGTCAGAGGGAGGGTGCAGCTTGCCACTTTGATGCCCTTCCTGGGATTCCAGGAGCAATCAGTTCTACTGGGGTGGGTTGGAGTTACTCAAGCAAAGCCCAGAGAACATAGGTCAGTGCCCGCAACAGGCAGCCGGGACTTTCTTTTTTACCCTTGCTTGAAAGTGTTTGAATCCCTTCATAGTTTTAGAGGCCAGAGGCCAGGACAGTAACAGCTACATGTGGTGTTGAGGGCCACTCAGGTGTTGGGGGTGGTGTGTACTCTGAGCTGAGGATGCAGGCCCAGCCCAGAGGGGTCATAACCTTGGTCTTGGGATAGGAGCAACACCCAGCTCAGCCCTCTGACTTGGGTCAAATTGTCTCTGTGTCTCAGTTTCCATTCTGAGTAACGTAAGTATTATAATAATGGACCTTCTATATAGCATTGTTGTGAGGCTAAGATAATATATGTTTAAAAGCACTTAGTACAATGCCTTCCTGGCATAAGTACTCAATAGAAGTCAGTACCAGTGCAATATGATTACTATTTTGTTAAAGAACTTTTTTTAATAGTACATGTTTACAGTACATAATGATTACATTCATGACCAGGGAGTTGGTACATGTACATATAAATTCTTTTTTTTATACCCTTCCCCTCCCCTTCTTCCCAAGATTATTAGTTATAATTAATCATTACTAAGCATCATCCTGTTCATGGTGGACTGTGAATTCTAGGGTGCTGAGTCACTGGAAGAAGGAAGGTTCTAGATGCAATTGAGTCTGTTTATCACCCATGGCACCTTACCTTCAGCTTCTGCATCTCTAGGCAGGTTCTCCTCTCTGGGGGGCTGCCCTGGCAACCAGTGGAGAAGGATGGGTTCCTTAGGTAGGTCACCTTCTGTGAAAATTTGGGGTGCTTGTGCCTTGCTCATGCACTTCTTGATTTTAGGTCTGGTCTTATAGGTATGTGGACCAGTTTGGGTCCAGAGTGGAGCTTATCACATATACTCACAGCGAGCTTCCTGGGCATGGGATCTGGGTGATGGGTTAGAAGTATCTGGATGAGGGGTCTGGGGAGATGGCTCAGTGGAATAAGCGCTTCTCTGGCAAGCGCAAGGGCCTGAGTTCAATCCCTGGTTCTGCCAAAAAAAAAAAAAAAGTATCTGGATGTGGTTTAATGTCATACTGTTCCTTCTTCACATTTTTAATGCTTTGGAACAAAGACCCTCATTTGATTTGCATTATAAATTATTATGCAAATTATATAGCTGATCCTGCCTATAGTCACAGTGAGGATGCCATCCACATGAAGAGAACTGAAGGGGAGAGACTGGGACATGACTGATACAAGGACATGTGGGGAGGATCCATTGGCTAGGGAGATATGAGGAAGGGGTCCTTACTCTCTTCCCATACTTCCTTTCCCACCCAGCCCTTCTGGTATTGAAAGATCCAGGTACTCTGCTCCTTTTTGAGTTCAGGGGCCAGGTTTTTCTGGGAGACTGGGTAAAGCCCTGAATTTCAGCATCTGTCGGGGTGAACCGTTCTCTCTAGGTGATTCAGTTCTCTCTAGGGTGGCTTCAAGAGGCTAAAGGACATGGGGGCGGTGGGAACAGAGGAAGCTATGAATTGTGATCCTCAGGAACCAGGTGCCTGGGCTTTAGCCAGTCCCTTGCTCCTGCTTGAGACCCAGTGAAACTGCCATCCTCTTACGTGGGCTGGATGGGTAGGCCTGAGCGCATAAACACCTGAAGCCTACAGACTGTTGAATCCTGTGTGAGGTATGTGGATGTTTAAGATTGTGTGTGAGGGCCGGGGAGATGGCTCAGTGGAACAAGCGCTTCCCTGGCAAGCACAAGGGCCTGAGTTCAATCCAGTTGAGTACAGAGAACAAATTTATATATTCTGGGATGGTGTTGCACACCTGTAATCCCAGCGCTTGAGAGCCTGAGGCAGGAGGCTCACCAAGAGTTTGAGGCCGGCCTGGACTACATATGGAGGCTCTGTCTCAAAAACAAACCAACACAAACAAATAACAAACACCATGTGTACTGCAGAAGGGGAGGGACAAGCCCCAGGATATATGAAGTCCATAAAGTGCTTTTAGACTAATGAACTAGACAATCACAAATAAATACATATCATTTATTTTTCTAGTTTCCTGCTTTTTACTTCTGTGGAGAAAGTCACAAGGTGAAATAATGGGGTTATTGGGGATACCTTTTGGCGAGATGGATGCGAACTGCATACCCACCCTGGCTGATGCCACATCAGGAGCTGGCGTTTGGGTTGTGGCTGGAAATGAGATTAACTTTAGTGTTCCAAAGAACTCACCTGCAGATGCCTGAAATTGTTCTAGGATTAAGCATTATTATTATTTTTTTTTTCTGAGACCCTATTTAAAATTCACATGCCTGGTTGGTGGTAGTGGTGGAGACTGTGCATTGTTCATTGAACTGATAATATGACAAGTGCTGTGTCATAAGATGGGGCTGCCCAAGGATGCTGGACTCCAAGAAAAGCCCCAGATGGATATTGCAAGCTAAGGCCCCCCCCCCAACTTCTGACTCAGTCCAGCTCTGGAGAAGGGGGAACCAAAGGGAGATAAGTAGAGAGCTGGGCCCATTCAAAACCCCGCCCCAACATATGAGAACTTGTTCTGTAATGTCATGTAACTTGGTAGTGTCCCAAATTTTCTGATCAAAGAGATTATGGGGCCAAAGAGGAAAGTGATTGATGATGTAGAGTGTGCCTAAGGAGAGTCACATGGAGAGAAAACATTCTCTCAGGCTTTCACAGAGAGCACATTGGCCAAGCAATGGCCGTGACATGGCTCATCCACATGGCTGACACTGACAAAAGTTCTACAATCTGAGGTACAGGATCTCAGGATAAATCCTGAGAGGATTTCACTGACCTTATCAGACTCAAAAGCTACAACTCTTGTTGCATAGGTCCAGCTTTACCTTGGTCTTAACCATCCAGCAGAAAAGTATAAAAATGAAATATAAGAAGTAAAGCCATGCTGTTATGTTGAGCTGTAGGGGACTCAAGTCAACAATTTCTGACATTGCTAGTCAAGCAGAAGACCCAATACTATTAAGGGCTACTGGACTCTTTTAGAACATTTTGCTGAGTTTACATACCTATAATATTCAAATAACGGAACTGAACAAAAAAAGGGTATACAGATGAATGTCCATTTTGTATCTGTGTATTCAAAATGGTGGGGCTGGTGAGATGGCTCAGTGGTCTAAAGCACCTACTTAGAACAAGCTTAGCAAAGCAAAGGGACCACGGTTCAATCCCCCAGCACCACATGCCAGCCAGCCCCGCCCCCTGGTGGGCTGAGCTGGCCACACACACACACACACACACACACACATAAATAAATAAAAAATTTTTAAAAAAACAAACAAAAAACAAAATGGTTAGGATAGATACATAGTTACATTCTCTTAATGAATAGAGGGATTTGTTCTAATAGTGTTTGTAAATAGGATATCAAGTCCGCATCTTGTACAGCAATTAACCACTAGGAAGAATGTATGCAATGCCATAATTATTGAAACTGTCCTACCAATTTGGTTTGAAACTGTCTCATTGCTATTTGTTTCTCAATAAAATTATGAAAACAAAAACAAAAACAACACCCACCCCAGAATCCCAGCCAGCCTCTAGCTGGTAGCTGAAAAGCTGGAAGCTCCATTCAACTACCTGCAGGGCTTTACAGGGTCTGTGGTATCCATCTGCCCCTCCCTTATTGATCCTTCTAGGATGGTCATACCTCAGTGACAGCTCTGTGGTTGCCCACAAGACTTGACAAAAAAGGTTCAGGTTTCCTAAAACACTTTCAACCTTCCATGGCCATACTTCGGTGAGCTTATCAGTTCCGCCTACCCGGAGGCCACATTTGACACTCTGTGATCCAAAGAATGTGGAATACAGCCACCCAAGAGGCCTCTGGTGTGAGGTAGAGCAAGTTCCCAGTAGCAATAGGAGTACTGCTCCGGGCGTGGCCAAACTGCCCAGCTGGTCCCATATGCAAGAATCTGCATGCTTCCTTCCTTGCTTGCTTGCTTCCTTCCTTCCTCTCAGTTCCTCCCTCACAAACCTACCTGGGGGCAGGTAATAAAGCTGGAGGAGGGAGATGGATGGATGGGGAGGGCGGGGAGCCACGTGGTGCCATAAAGCCCAGCTGGAGACCGCCTGCCGCCGCCCGTGCTGGGAGTGTCCAGCCTGCAGGAGCAAACGCCGGGGGTGGACCCACAGCCCAAGCACTGGAGTCCAGGAATAGGCCATGTTTCGTGGAGCATCAGGGCTGGGTCTCAGAGGCCTGAAGGGGGTCGAGGGCTCAGGGGAGGACTTGGGGGGTTCTTATCCGGAGGCAGTGAGGGATTTTGGGGTACTGAAGGAGAACGGCGCCCCCCGCGGGCTGGGAGAGGGAGAGGAGACGGCGGCCCGAAAGCGCGTCAGGCCCGTGCGCTCCAAGGCGCGGCGCATGGCTGCCAACGTGCGGGAGCGCAAGCGCATCCTGGACTACAACGAGGCCTTCAACGCGCTGCGGCGGGCGCTACGGCACGACCTGGGCGGCAAGAGGCTCTCCAAGATCGCCACGCTGCGCAGGGCTATCCACCGCATCACCGCGCTCTCGCTGGTCCTGCGCGCCAGCCCCGCGCCTCGCTGGCCCTGCGGCCACCTGGAGTGTCACGGCCAGGCAGCGCGCAGCAAGGGCGCGAGAGACGAGGGCTCCAGCCCCCCGCGCCCCGCACCGCTGTCCGCAGGGCCCAGCCTCCCGCACCCAGACGCCTGCAGCTCCTTGGCGCCGCCCGCGCTGCGCTGTGCCCCGTGCTCGGCGCACACGCACACGCACCTGGTGAGGCCCCGGGCGGTGGCCGAGGCTCCCTGCTTGGCCCCGGCCTCCGGGGAAAGCTGGCGCCGAAGTTCTGGGGCGCTGTCGGCTGGACCACTTCCCTGGCCGCGGGGCTATCTGCGAACCAGCCCTGGGCTGGGCTACCAGCACTCCTGACTCGGCCATCAAGCACGGGCAGACCTGGCAGCAGGATTACCTAAGGGAAGACTGCAGAAAGCCTCCTGGAAAGAGCAGAATGGAGTGGGCTGCGACCAAGGGGGAGAGGAGGCTGTTGTGGCGGTGGGAAGGGACTCTGGGGACTGCGGCCACATCTCCACATCCCTGTATGGGGGTGACATCTCAGAAAGCAGCAGGATCTTACTCCGTTTTAAGTTTGGACTTGTTGGACTCTGGAAAGTGGCCTATCAATTCCTCTGCCTCTGAGCTCTGTTTCCTGTAGCTGCTCTTGAATTGGGAACTTGTGCGGGAGTGTAGGTGGGCACCTGCTGTGGCCCATGGCAGTGTTGGGGCCCCCATCCTCTGCCTGTGCTGCTGCCCCAAATCTCGTCTGGGAGGGGCAGGCAGAAGGAGCCAAATAAAAAAGAAAACGGTCATCTCTGTCTGCTCCCATGACTCCCCTGGGCCCAGTGGCCCAAGGTGATGGGGCGTCCAAGGGCTGGAGGGTTATCCTTGAAAGATGGGCCAGGCCCTAAAACCCACAGGTAGGTAGCTGGGGCAGTGGTACAGGGTAAGACCTCAGGAGTGGCTGAGCGTAGAGACCGGATTAAGGGAAGAGAGACACCAGGAGACCACACCCCTCTCTGTGCAGCCTAGAGTGGGAGAAGGCATTGTCTGCAGACAGGCTAGAGACAGGGTCGGCCTCCTCTGTGGATCAGCCATGAAGCTGTTGCCTGCAGTGAGCCACAGCAGGGCCTACATGAAAGGAGAGACTGGTCAGGGAAGGAAGCTGAAGGCAGGGCCAAGCACTGAGGGTTAGGATCTCCTACTTAACCCCACTGATGGGTGGAGCTACCAGGGAACAGGGGCCAGGGGCCAGGGGCTCTGTGATGACAGTTAGAATCCCAGAAGGACAATGGGGAGGGATTGAAGGTGGAGGGCCCTCAGAGCAAGCTGGGTGGGAGTAGGAGGCACAGGACCAGTCCTTCCCCAGAATGCTGGAGAACTGAGCGGCTTTGAAGGTGAGCCAGTGTCTGGTCAGGCTCAGGTGGTCAGGGCTAACATTGCAAATGCTGCTTGCCGGCCTGAGGACCTGAGGGGTCGTCAGGGGGCTGAGGACTCTTTGGCCTTCAAAGGGCTGAGCTGATGCCAGCTGAGCAGGAGGGTTACATATAGCCAGTTCAGAATGGGGGAGGGGGACCACAGAAGCTCTGGGGAGGTTCCCCACAAAGGTGCCCATAGGCCTAGACCTGGTGAGAGTGAGGTTTGAGCTTTTTTTTGAGAGTGAAGAATTAAAGAGGTCTTTGCTTTCTGCAGGCCATAATGTTTCTGGCATGGGTGGCATCTTATCCCAGTCACTTAGGGCTTCCAATTTCACAGTCAAGATTATGGTATCAACCATAGGGAAGCTTTGCCTCTAAATCTATCTAAATGTGGGAGGGCTGGGAAGATAGCTCAGTAGAATAAGCGCTTCCCTGGCAAGCGCAAGGGCCTGAGTTCAATCCCCGGTTCCACAAAAAAATAAAAATAAAATAAATGTGGGACTGTGCCCCTAGAGTCCTGCAGTGCCACAGCAGCCAATAGAAAGGAAGAGCCAGAGGGGCCAGGGAGATGGCTCAGTGGAATAAGCGCTTCCCTGGCAAGTGCAAGGGCCTGAGTTCAATCCCCGGTTCTGAAAAAAAAAAAAAAAAAAAAGAAAAAAGAAAAGAAAGGAAGAGCCAGACCTATGTGGGATCCACCCTCTCCTCTGCTACCTCTTCAGCCTCTACTTCCTCATTTCTGACCTGGATAGGGCGACTGTGGCATTAACATGATCAATCCCCTTTCTAGCTATTCACAAGATTTTCACAAATTATTACTACATATTTGTTCACTGTTATAATCTTGTGATAGAACAGCCTGGACAGTGCTTAAGCCATTTGGTGGTTGGTTGATTGGTTTGTTGTGATGTCTTGCCATATACGGGTTGGCCTTGAACTCACTGTGTGGCCTACTGTCTAAACTGGCCTTGAATTCGAGGCAGTCCTCCTGATTCAGCCTCGAGAGTGCTGGATTATAGGTGTGTGCCATCACACCTGGCTTTAGTCTTCTTTTGACCTAAGAAACTTATTCTCTGGAAACAGTATGATAAAGTGATAAGCATCCCTTTGGCCTTTATTCCAGGACTAAAAGAGCTTGTTCAGCCAAACTCCCAGCCTTCGCGAGGGGTGCCCTCTGCAGGTGGCACTATGTGCGGCAGATGAATCTGTTCCCAGGAGGGGATGTGACTCCTTTCCTTTCCTAGTTTATTGATCTTGAGCACATCACTTAGGTGTTTTGAACCTTGTTGTTCTCATATGTATAATGGGCTAAAAGAAATACTTACATCCTAGGATGTTGTACAGACCGAATGAAATGATGCTTTTTTTTTTTGGTGGCCAGCTCAGCCTACTCTGTGGGCAGGGCTGGTGTGGCATGTGGTGCCGGGGATGGCACTGCAGTACCTGCGCTTGCTTAAATTTGCCTACGCAGGTGTTTTAGACCGCTGAGCTATCTCACTGGCCCCAAAGTTATTTTTCAAGCTTTTTTTTTTGTTTTTTTTGTTTTGTAGTGGTACCAGGGGTTGAACTCAGGCCATTGTGCTTCCCAAGCAAGCACTTATTCTACTGATCTATCTTCTTGGCCTCTTTCTTTTTTCTCCTTTTGTTCTTGTTTTTGAGACAGGATCTTGCAGTGTAGTTCAGCTGGTCTTGAACTCACTATGTAGCCTAGGCTGGCGTCAAACTCAACACAGTCCCGTCTCAGCCTCCTGAGTGTTGGGATTACAGGCGTGCCCCACCATGTGGGTTTGAGATGATACATTTAGAAGCACTTAGTGAGCCTAGTGCTCAGCCCACGTAAGCATTCACTGAGTGGAAGCTGTTATGACGTACTCTACGGACAAGGTTGCATAAGGAATTGTGTCAGGGCCAGGACGGTGTCTACGAGCTATGGTGTCTGAGTGCAGTTATTTCCATTGTTTTATCAGAGCTATATTTTTGAGGGGATGCACCAACATATTTGCACACTGACATGCATTTGCCCAGTGCTCTTAGGTTATAATGTCACAATGTGCACATACACATTGTGTGATTATGTAGATGTGTGGCTGTTCGTGTGTATACACATATGAAGATCAGTCTATATCAGTCTATACCCTTCCCTTCCTCTTCCCACCCTTTCTCTTCCAACATTTGCATCCCTCCCCTCTCCCAGCATTGGTCCCAGCATAGGATGGGATTTTGCAGAGAGAGATGAATGCTGGTGTAGACACACCCTGGGCACTAAGTGCTTTCTTACTTTTCTGGTTTCTCCAGCCTGGCTTAATGTGGGCCAGGCCCTGGGGATATGCCGCTCAGGGGGTGAGAGGCAGCAAGACAGGAGTGATTTGCTACACTTCTTTTTTATTTTATTTCATTATGTATTTGGTACAGGGTCTTACTACACAGCTCAGACTCATAGTGATCCTCCTGTTTTCAGCCTCCCCAGTGCTGGGATTACACGCATGTACCACCAGGCTTGGTCTCAGTAGTCAGCTCCACGGGCCCAGGAGTGGGGTAGGGCCAACTCAGCATATGGTGTCAGGGATCGAACCCCGGTCTCTGCGTTGTCTAAGTAGGCACTTAGTGCGCTGAGCTCTCTCGCCAGCCTAGAGGAGTGACTTTCATCAGATCCTTGTGTCCACACCAGGGAGTGGCAAGACCAGTCAGCTGTGGGTCAGAAAGATACTATAGGCCTGTCCAGCTGGGGCTGCCCACCGGTCAGATTGGCAGGCCAGTGAACACAGAGTTGGCTGAGGAGTTCAGCACTCCTTTCCAGGCTGTGGTTGGCCCGGTTCCTGTAGGAAATTGTCCAAGTTTCCAAGATCTTCCTGTTAAAAATTCCAAACCTAATTCTTCAGTGGAATGATTTTGTGTGTGTGTGTTCAGTGCCAGGAGGAATACCAAGGTTTCGGGTGTGCTAGGCAAGCCCTCTAACACTGAACTATATGCCCAGCCCCTTTGGAATGAACTTTAAAAGAAAATATGGGGGCGGGGAATTACCTGCTCGCCCCCCCACCCGCCTTGGGACAGGAGCTTTCTTTCTTTCAATAGATATATTCTGTTCATTAAAAAAAAAAAATGTGTTGAGTCAATACTGTGCTGACTAAATTCACTTAGTCCCTGGGTCTCCATGGGCCCAGAAGGGCTCCTGCTTGGGGCAGCCGCAGACCCTGCACGGCCACACCTGCTCCTCTTCCTCCCCGCCCTCTCCACTGCTGGTGCTCAACCCCTCCTCTGGTCATTCACCCGATTCCCACCAGTCCACTAGATGGCGCTAAAAACCCAGGATGTTAAACCGATAGCGCAGTCTTCACCTAAGCACCCAACCCCACCCAGCTCATCCAGGCAACCTCACCACCAAGGGTTACTCTGGGACTTGGCTTTTTTCTTTTCTCTTTTTATCAAGCGAAAAAGACTTCCTGATACCTGGTTCATTCTGTCTTCTAGGCCGGT